TGAAGGCTAATCATGTTTTGGGTGTACTATTCCTTTAAAGGAGAAGTAGGTGAAAGGATCCGAGGGTTTTGGTTTGAATCATTTGTCGGGGAACAGAAACAAGGCCAAACAGAGGGTGCCAAAAGCCAGGAGAATTTCCTAAATGAGCGAGAACCAGGAAATACAGAAGGCCGAACCGTGATCAAGATCAGGTGGAGGACAAACGCTGGACATTGACTCACTCAAAGGCTTTCTATAATCTAGCACCGTTTGCCAGCCAGTGAGCTGAATATAAAGTGTGGACAGCAGGTGGAGATAATGAGGCGTAGTTAGGCTGCAGGCAGGGGAGACACAGGTAGAAACACAGAGAGGAGGAGGAGCAGACAGGACGGTCCCGACAAACAGGCCAGAATCAGCAGAGGGAGACTTTTCCATAGATCCAGGGACCCTGAAGCTCCTTTCAGCCACTTCCATGCAGAACATCATGCTTTGGTAAATTAGAGTAGGAACACAGGTAACTAGAAAATGTACACTTTTCATTTCCCCACGTGTCGGCCTCCAGGTCTGTTCTTCCCTCTGACTGAGACCAATCTTTTAGTTGAAACAAAATGGTCTCCAACTCATTTACATTCATTTTCATTAGTTCTTTTATTCATCATTCAAAAGCAGGAAATGGAGCAAGTGGAGTCGATGTTTAATTTCCCTACAAGTTATAGACGTGTTTTTACTGATCTCCTTGTCCTGATTTCATCCCATATTCTAAATGTTTGTTGATATATATGATTATAGACAAAAGGCTAATCCTAGTTTTTAAGCTCTCAAACTCAACCCTCAAAGTAGATTCTGACGTTCTGGACGCTGTCTTCCCAGTGAGCTGAACAACAACCGCTTTGAGGTGAGCCATGTTCACAAAGTGGAGTGTGTGGTGCCATGGCTGAGCGACACGCTGGTCTTCTTCACCATCTCACTGCAGCTGTGTCAGCAACTCAAGGACAAGGTGGGCATCCAACCGATCTCTGTCCTGCAGCTGTGACCCCTTATAGACGCCTTTATTCTTCTACCAAAAGTTGGGCAAGGTGTTGAAGTTAAGCCT